CTATAGAGTGATGAATAAAAGTTTGTGGCTCTAAACTTCAAATGCAATTGTGTAGTTGATTTGTTCTAAAACATGATTATTCTCGGCCTTTGGTTTACAGTTCGGTTCAATTCGTTTCTTTCAGTTTTTGGTGTTACAGTTACTATTTATGAAATTTCGGTTATTTTTAGTTGAATTATTTTGGTACGGTTCAAGTAATAAGATTAGGACTGTTGAGAACAAGATGAAAGGAACAGACAGACCTGGAAAATCTTCCCTTTCTGCACAACTTTATCAAAACACACGTGTAACCTTTTTATATTTTTTTTTGCAGCTGCAAGTTTGTTTTTTCACACTAACTTACATAATATTACATGAATAAGAAGAATTTACAGTATTATCAAACTAGGGGAGAAAGAAGCTTAGCGCCTCGAGCTCGGCTTCCGGGAAACAGCATAAGGTGATTGAAACCCAACAGTTTCCACGTCTCCAACAGTTCTGATCAACCTTCTTTTTCTAGCCTCTTCCGCCATCGACCTCTGCACGTCTACAAGCGAGAGGTTCCTTGGAAATGTGCAGTTGTTACTCGAACTGGAAGCTTCAGACATGCTAGAACGTCGATGATAGCTTTGTTCGGGGGCAAACCTCGTCACGTTGTGAGTTCTGTTCATAGCAGGAGGTTGGGAACTGCTGATCTCATCAACAGATATGTAGTTGAGGTTGGAGTAAGACCCTGAATTGGAAGAGCTTTCAGAATGTGTCTCATCATCTGCAAATTTTCATTTTCTATCAAAAAATAACTTTTGTATAAACATCTGAATCACACTACACAATCTGGTGGTTTACTTTCCATACCTTGTAGCCAATCTTGACGGCCACGTGGCATATAGTTAAAGAGGGAAGCTTGAGAGGATGAGGATGAAGAATGATAGTCATGAGGAGTTTCATCACCTTCATGCAACAAAGAAGAGATCTCTCCATCAATCATTTCAGCAATCTCAACTGGATCCCAATCTGTGATCTCGAGTTCTTTTACCATCTCCTTTGCAACATCAATGGAAGTATCATTCATGATTCCAAAGCGGAACTCCACTAAGTCCCTTTTACCAATTTCATCTAGGATTACAACTTCCAGCAAGATTGTGTTGTTATCTTCAGCGTTCAGCCTCCCAGTGATGGTCATACGAGTCCTTCCTAACTCATCATCTTCCAACTTCAGTCTGTCCATTTCATTCTCATTCAAGAAGGGCTTTGGATTCTCAGCCACTCTTACGTACACCATCCATGAATCGTCAGAGGAGAGGAATGGATCTTGCAATAGTTCTCTTGCTGACACTCTCTGTGAGGCAGGCTTGAGGCATTTCCTGATAAACTTCTGTGCCTCAATGTCTTGAATTCTATAAAAGGCTTCTGGTAGCGTTCCCTGGAAAGAAAAAACATTACAAGGCTCATGCCTGGTTCAAATGATAGCTTTATCCATATTAAGCATGCGGGTTTGGTTAGTTCGGGTTTTCAGGTTCGGTTGTTCAGTTTTCGATTAGTTCGGTTCAACAAAAATCTTACCTAATAAATCGAAATAAATTTCGCCTCAGTATTCGGTTAGTTCGGTTCAACAAAAATCTTACCGAATAAACCGAAATAAAAAAGTTCGGCGCGGTTAGTTTGGTTCAATAAAAATCTTACCGAATAAACCAAAATAATTCGGTTAGTTAGGTTTTTGAAAATCCTACCGAAATTAAAGGTTAAATAAACTCAGTTAATTGAAATTTGGTTAGTTTGGTTCGAGTTTTTGGTATGGTTTGGGTATTTATTTAAAAAAAGGAAACCGAAGTAACTGTTTGCCAAACCGAACCAAAAACCAAAGTTTGTTTTACAAAACCTACCTAATTGAACTGAACTACTAAACAAACTAACCAAAATTCCGGTTCAGTTTGGTTCAGAATCCTAGGCCTAACCATATGCTCACAGATAGAAAGACATACCGAAACCACTTTCTTGTAAACGTGCACCCGACTGTTGCACTCACTATACGGGAACTCAGAGGTGATCATCTCCAAAAAACACATACCAAAGGAGTAAACGTCAATGAGCTCATTATAGTTCTCCTCATATAGTTCTGGAGCCATGAACTCGGGAGTGCCTACGCAAAAAAACTAAGTCTTAAGCATATTATGATTAGAGAGCGAGAAAGTGAGAACAAAAACGATGATTAATACCGAGGACACTATGGGCAGAGCGGTCGTCCCGGAGCATTCTTGCAAGACCAAGATCGCCAATTTTGACTTGTCCAAGATGCCCATTCACAAAGATATTATCACACTTGAGGTCTCTGTGGATAACAGGAGGGTCATGCTCGTGGAGATAAATAAGCCCTTCCAAGATCTGCCGAGCCCATGACTTGATTGCTCGGATATCTATTCGCAGGTACTTGTTTTTGTATCTGCACCAAGAACAGGACAGAAGTCATACATACAGAGAAAAAAAAACTGAGTAATTTGTTTTGAGGAGAAAGAGAATTATTACTGTCGGAGGGTGCCAGAAGTGAACAACTCGGTGATGAAGTTGAGAGTATGGGAATCAACATCAATCCAGGAAGTGTAGAAACGAATGATGGATTTGTGTTTGAGAGTGCTGAGAAGATGAACCTCAGAGTAGAGCCTCTGCAGATCAACAGAGGAACGGAGAACCTCTTTTAGCTTCACCTGGCTCCACGCTACTTCTATTCCACGCTTCTCGTCGATTGCTTTGTACACCGTCTTCATCGCTCCCCTTCCAAGAACTTCTTCAAACTGTTCCATCATAAAAACCAACTATGTGTTACAAAAAAAGGTCTGAATTGTAAAAGTTGTTCCAGCATAGAGCATGTTCCTCTACTTACACGTCCATATCGACCAGTAGGATCGGTTTCTACATACTCCGAAACCTGATTCGTGTTCATGGTTGACCAAAACTCTGTTGATGCTCCCGAAATGTTTGAGAAGACAAGATATTTCTGGTTGCCAAAAGTCGTCTTACTATTTCTTCTTATACTACTTCATCAAAGAAGCGTCAGCATAAAATATGTTGAATTGAAACAGTATTTGGCCTTGAGTCACCACCAACTGGTAATAGAATGAATAAAAGACAAGAGCCTCGAACTTGCTTGCATCACATATATATTATATAAAACCATTCCTAACTTTGACAAATCTTAGTTGCCAATAAAAAATATACTCGAGCATTATTTTAAAATCACCAAACGTGTACCACTTTGAAAAACACATGGCTAAAACAAGTAAAAAAGGAAAAGGAATATGCCATGAATAGTTTTGTGAGCCACAAACACTATAGCAAAGAGGATAAGAGTTTCCTTGCTTGAGAAAACTGCACGATTCAATCGAACCAATAAGTTTGGTGGGCACCAGAATTTCAAAATATTGAAATTAATAAAAAAAAGTAACAATAAAAGAGACAAAGTCAGAACAGATGTGGGGAGCATGACGAGAACAGAGTGATAGTAACATCACCGTTGAACATTTATCTTTTTTGTTGGCGGCTAACTCCTGCAGCTCTTAAGGAGTTCAGGGTTCTGCAGTAAACTGGTAAACACATAACAAACATGCAGTAACCAATATATACGTTCATCATCCTACTTAGCTTTGAGGTCAGAATGTTAAGATGCAATCATAGCTCTTAAATGCATATTTGACTACTATTTTAACGTTACATAACACGTGGAAAAGGAGAGACATAGAGAAACAAATTAATAGGAAAATAAATTAATGACAGAATATATCGGCAACAAGAACAGCTGCATAACTTTGACACTGACTACAATAAAGGTTGCAGCCAGAATTGTCCTACGAGCATATCATTATAGTCTGCTCTTTTCATCATTACCATTCAGCATACAAAATGTGAAAGACCCTTTCTCCACAGGGAAAACTCCAAAAACCAACTCAAACCTATTTATCCTTCAAAAGATGTTACTTCTACCGAGTTAAGTTCCTCCATTTGTCCTTCAAATCCACCTACCAAGTTACAACCATGATTTCACTCACACACTTCGCATATAACTTAATTAAAGCAAATGATGAGAAGGAATGCAAACAAAAGGAAGTGCTCACCTCAGTCCTCTCTGCGAATACTGCAGGGTTTGCATTCTTTATCTCTTTCCATGACTTACCATACCTACACAACAACAACAACAAAATGACAATGCTGTAATAGAGTAGGGGACTTGGCAAAAGAATGTTGCATACTCTTTAACTCCTTCCCTCAGAGCTGCCTCTTCTTCAGGCGTCCAGAATTTCTTTCGCCTTCTAACAGCGGGTTCTACCTTCCTCAACGGGGATACATTCAGAGGCTCAGGGGTTGGTAGATGAGGCCGAACTCTGCCAGAATATGTATCCTGACTACCCGAACCTTTCTCACTTGCATTACCCTGTAATCAAACCACAACTTCATGAACCAAAGAAAAAGAAACCATCTTGAAAGAAAGAAAAAAACTCACTAACACCCACCTGACCACTTGTTGTTCCAGTCCTATTAAACCGAGTAGGCCGAGGAGTCATTGGACTGTTAGGTTCATGCACATGACTAGTGGAAGGATCGATTTGTCTTTGAATCATTAACAAACACTCCTTCAGCTCCCTAGCAACCCTTTTGTCACCCTTATCAAGACTTGACTCATGCTCCTGTTCTTGTGTCCTCTCCTCCTCTCCCCCATTCACCTTATCAAACCCATCACTCTCCAACCGCTCAGTGCTTTCATCACCATCCCTTGGGATATCACTCTCCGCCTTGCGTTTAAGAAACCTCCTTCGAGCAACAGATTCAAGAGCCGAGCTCCCAAGCAACCCCCCCTGCTCTTTAATAAGCTGAGTTAAAAAGGAAACAGCTTTATACCTAACGTTACTCTCACGTATCCTCTGATACACCCTATCATCCTCAACCGCCATCTTCACATCATCCTCCCATTTCAACAACTCCTGAGTCACCAAACCACTCCCACTCCCTTTCAAAACCCCAATCCTTTTCCCCCATATCCTCTCAACGGCGTCGTTTAACAAACTATCGGAAACACGCAACGGCCACATGAACTTAACCGTGCATTCAGCAGCCGTCCAGCAATAAGCGGACTTGTGAGACTCCGTGAGTAGCGGCGAGTGAAGCTTCTCGAGAAGCTCGAGGAGGTCGAGCGTTCCTTCGTCGATTGTGCCTCGGATCAAGGAATTGGAGATGTCTCGTAACACGGAGAAAGTCTTGAGCTTCGTGTTGTCGGGGGAATCTTTTAGTTTGAGTAACGAGAGGAGGTTGGTAGGGGAAATCCTAGGGTTTCGTTGACGAAAGATGAAAAATTCGGCGACCCATTCGTCGATATCCTCCATTTTTGTGACTTTTGGTATCCAAAGTCGGGACCTTTGGTTTGCGCAGTTTTTGCGATTTCGCCGGAGAAGACGAATAGCTCCGATAAGCGGTTTTTGGATATTCTTTAATGGGTCTTAAGTTCGGCCTTAAGTGAAGAAGATATTTGATTGACACGTGTGGTGATCTGGTTTGGCGCGCTCTCTATAATGGGCCTTAAAATTGGGCCTGAAGTCAAATAATTGATGTCATGTGATCTGAGCGTAAGAATATGATTAATGATGTTTTTAAGACAGATTCTTAGCTAAATACAAGAAGTCTTTTATTTAAGAATTAACTTTTTTTAAGTTAAAAGTTAAAAGGCTCTTTTTAATATTCCGCTAAGAATTCCAGTTGATATAATTTGCTCAAGTCATTGTGTGGTTGGAGACAAATGGGTGATATACTGATATTGATAGAATTAACTTTCTACCATGGAGTATGTATAACAAGAGGTACTCTTTGCTTCAATGTTTTCAGAGTGGTCCTCTTTTCGCTTTACACAAAACAGAGTAAATGGGTTTCCAGTTCTGTAAATTTTTAATCATTCACTTTGATTAAGCACAAAGGGAAATTATACCTTTTGAGTTTTGAAGGTTATAAACTACAACAACAACAATAACTCTTGTTTAAAAAACAAAATAGAATAGAATCTCTAGTCCACATAAGAGAAAGCTGGTTGGGTTATTGGAACACTGGTTGTGTTTTAACAATTGAAGCTTTAAGTCACTCTTCTGAGTTGTAATGATGAGGAGGCAACCATAAGGGATCAATTCTTGTCAGGTTCTTGATGTACTTATTGCTGGTTTGCATAACAAGCTCGTTGAAGATAACACACTCTGGTTTGGAACTGAACAAAACAGAAGCTGGGTGGATGTGCACAATTTCACCACTTTCCAAAGCCCTGTCAAAGACATTATTACATGATTACAAAACTTTTCTTCTTACATACATGTTTAAACAAACAACAAATGAAACTACATTTACCTGTATGTACCATCCATTTGTCTCTGAGCTGCTTTAAGGAAAAACGTTGTAGCAAGACATCTAAGGTACTCGAGCATGTCATTTCCGCATGAAGACACATTAAAACCCATATTTTCAACGTTCCCACGAATTTGTCTGCACAACAAGCATATAAACTTGATCACAAGACGGAACCAAAATCATGTGAAAAAAGAAGAAGACATGACAAACCTATAAGTGTCACGAGCATGTTTCAAGGAATGGCTATTCACAAAGTTGTCCTTACACCATTTTCTCATAATTTGATCAACATTGGCTTCACTGTTTTCCGCCTTTATCTGCTCCAACAACTCATTCGACTCTCGATAAACACTAAGATAAGTTAGATGATCTCCTTCAACGCTAGCAAAGTGGTTTCTTGTACTTCTTGCCTTGCGAAACAAAGATTCGAAAACAAAAATTTACAACAGCTGCTTTCATGAACTTGTATATATATAAAGAAGAAGAAAAAATGAGAATGTCTAATCACTCACCTCTTCTTCTCTCTTGTCACGAGGATCATAAAATATGGATTCCACAGAGAGCATTGCAACAGTGATTAACATTTCCTCAAGACAGTTGAACTGATTAGCCAAAATGAGAGCTCTTGAGTAAACTGGATCTAGCGGGAGCAGACGTGCCATCTGATGACCAGCCGGTTCTTCTAGTTTCCAATCATCCGTCAAGGCACCAAGCAGCTGCAACTCCTCCAATGCTTTTTCAATGGCGCTCCTGTTTGTTTTTAACATCAAATAGATGACAATCTTTTTTGATCAAAGACAAAGCAATTAAGAGAATAGATATGAGGAAGTACCTTGATGGTTTATCTATAAAATCAAATCCAAGAATATCATCAAATCCAAGAGCCTTGAGCTGCAGAATGACATGAGAGAGATTGCATCTCATGATCTCTGGTTTGGTTGAATCCTCCAGCTTCTTAAATTCCATCTCACGATAAAGACGATAACATTTCCCAGGACCCTCACGTCCTGCACGTCGACTGAAGTAAAAGCCAAAAAAAAAAGAAAAAGCTAATAAAATTGCATGAAAACTCTAAGCTAACCATCAAAAGAAGCGACTTAGAGCATGTTTATCCAAGGGTGTTTAGAGAAGTGCTTAGGAGGAGGAAGGTGCTTAATATGAAGAGAGAGAGTGTGAAAAGTGCTTAATCAAGCACTTTTCACACTCTCTCTCTTCATATTAAGCACCTTCCTCCTCCTAAGCACTTCTCTAAGCACCCTTGGATAAACATGCTTAATACAGAACAACAACATGGTACGTACGTACCTTCTTTGAAGAGACAGTGCTTTTGATGCTGGAACAACATCAAGCCTCTCCATTCTTTTGCTAGGATCATAGGTTCGTGCCTTAACAAACCCAGGGTCTACCACATATCTTATTCCAGGAATTGTAATCGATGTATCTGTGGACAAAACCACCTATGATATGCAAAAAAATACCTATTAGTAGCAACGTCTCTCAACCATATACAATGACTAAAACCACAAAAATTTTCTAACCTTACGGAAACCAAAAGGCGCAGGAGCAAAAACTCTCATCTGCTGCTCTGATGAAAAGAGAGCAAGTGGAAGAAGGTTCCTCTTGTCTTCAGGTAAATGCTCAAGTTCTTTCTGGACAAGTCTTTCAAGAGATTCAGTCTCATCTTGTCCAGTGAGGAAAACAAGTATATCACCTTGCTCCTCCTCCAAATGAATCTTTAATAAAAAATAAAAATAATGTAAAATTAAATTTAAGCATTAAAATGACTGCTGGATAGGTTAACAAGATCAAATAAATAACCTGAAATATAGTGACCAAAGCTGCATCAACATAATCTGTCTCAGTGTAAAATATGTTCACAGGAAACTGTCTCCCTGGCACATAAAAAACATTGGCACCACCGTAATACTCAGAGAATACACGTGCATCCACCAAACTTGCAGACATGATTATCAGCTTTAACACACCACCAATCTCAGCCTTTGACCGATCCAGCTGCACCTTTTTAAGAAAGGCCAGGAGAACATCAGTATGAGCAGTCCTCTCGTGGGCTTCATCGACAATAATGACTGAATATCTAGAAAGAAGAGGATCCACCAAGGCTTCTCTGCAAAAAAAAGAAAAAAAAACAGTGATGAGAAAGAAGAACAAACAATCACAGGAGAATTATCATCAAAAAGTAAGTTTGTAATTTACCTCCACAATAAACAATCAGTCATGTATTTTAACCTCGTGGAGCTAGAAGAAGTATCATCAAACCTAATCGAGTAACCAACCCTTTGGCCTAATTGAACATCACACTCCTCAGCTACCCTTTTAGCAGCAGTCAAGGCAGCGATACAGCTCGGCTGTGATATCCCTACCATCTTTCCTTCCCGACAGAATCCAGCATTGAACAGAAACTGAGGCAACTCTGTCAAAAAACAACATATGATTGCAACTTTTGGTCTCAGAAACTAGTTGAGAATAAGGTAATTAAATAAGGACACTAATAAAACAACAACTTACGAGTAGTCTTCCCACAACCGGTTTCACCAACAATAATCACAATATCATTCTTTTGAACCACCTCAATAAGAGGTTTCTCCACTGTTATTAAAATAAAATAAAAAAGCAATCATAGTTAGTCTCCACGTACGGACATAGAGATGCAAAATATGAATAGGGTAAGTGAAATAACTCGCACCTGAAGCAATAGGAAGAGACTTTCTATGTTCTTCTATCTTCTGCATTATGCTGTGATACGTCCACATTGAAAAAAATCGTTACTTTTTGCCCTGGGAATACTTTAAATTTTGCGTAGAGAAACTAACCTTAAGCGAGAAGCAACTGGAGATTTAGGGTTCTGTTTGCTGTTTAGTGCAGAGCTCTTGAGTTCCTTGCGCCGTTGTCCGAAGCACAGCAGCGTGAGAATTAGCTTTAGTTCGAGTTTTGATTTGGGACAGAACAGCAATCGTTAAGGCCTGTGTTCTTAACTTCTTATATACGGTAAATGGAAATTAGGTTTTGCAGCTTCTATGTATAGGTTTTGAATCTATACATAAATTCTTTAAGAATTATTTTTTTTCATAATTAAATATATAGTATATTAACAAATATAATTATTTTTCAAGGATAATAAAGACTTATAACACAATAAAAAAATTAGATAATGATAATTATCAAATTCATGAAATTCGTTTTAATTTAGAATTAATTATATATTAACAAATATAATGATTTTAAATATAATTATTTTTCAATATTGATAAAGACATAATATAAAAAAACTAAAGAAGGATGATTATCAAATAAATGAGATTCGTTTTTAATTTATAATTAATGATATATTACTAAAATATAATTATATTACAAGGTTAATAAAGATTTTATAACCCAATATAAATAGATTTAGATAAAGACAAATCTAATATCATTGAAATTCGTTTTTTACTTATGTTTAATTGTATATTGAAATTTGTAATTATTATATAGTAATAAATCTTTTTTTGGTCAAATAGTAATAACTATTAGTCATTATATAGTAATAAATCTAATTAGTCATTAAGTGTATGTTTGCTGTCATTAAGGGTAGTAAAAATCAGAACATGAAAATTAGATTTATTATCTTTAATGGCGAAACAAACATAAACTTAATGACTAATTAGATTTATTACTATATAATGAATAATTAGATTTATTATAATCATTAGTTTAGATAATGATAATCATCAAATCATAAGAATAAAGAATAAGATTTGTTTTTAATTATTATATATTAATAGATCCAATTAGTCATTATATAGTAATAAATCTAATTAGTCATTAAGTTTATGTTTGCTTTGTCATTAAAGGTACTAAATCTAATTAATATACGGTTCATAATTATATAAAAAAAAAGAATGAATGATCGAGATCGTATGACTAAGATTAAAATATAGATGTGATCGATTTAATGACTCATGAGATACATTCATTAATGATAAAATAGTTATTTTTCTTGCTTTGTCTATGTAATTTTTTTTAGATTGTTGTAGATTTTTTTTTAGTTACTTGGTTTATAATAAATTTCTGTGCATGTGGATGACAAATGATTGACATGTGATTTGAAGTCTGAAACTTATATTCCCCAACTCTCTTTCTCTGGGCTTGGTGAGCTCTAAGTAATGGGCCTTGAGTTGGACCTGAAGTCAAATAAACAGCAAGTGTCATGATCTGAGACTTAATTCTCCGTTCCGTTTCCGTTTCTGAGTTCTCACTTTATTATTGTAGTTTGTTTATGTGCGATGATGACCATGGTCAGAGCTCTCCTCAAAGTTGCATCTTTCAAATCAGTTTCACCATCAGTTTGATTTTTGGAGGGTGGTGAGCATCTCAGTAAGCATTCTCTTCTAGGTTATTAGCTGTACATAGCACACCCACATTGCTCATGATATTTGTTCTACATAAGTTAAAGAAACTCTTCTTATTTATTTAAATGCACAGGGAAGTTATAGTTTTGTTTGTAAACAAAACTAGATAATGCATATCTAATGTCAAACACAAAATGTTCCCTAAATCTTTTGATCTTTTATTTTATTTTTTTCATCAAACAAAAACAAAAAAAACAAAACACCTCTTTCTATAAGTGAAAGAGTAACACAAACAAAGGTACATATAGTATGTATAAAAGCTATACATCAGAATCAAGAAGCGAAAAATTGTAGGAAAGGTCTTCTTTATTGTTGAATGCCCTGAACAGGCATTGCGTGTAACCTCTTGCACTCGTCTTTGGAGTAGTCAAGTGAAAAACAAAGCTGTCTTATCACTTCCCTCTTCTCTTCCGCTACTTCTTCGAGCTCCTTCCTCAGCTTCTCCACCTCTTCCTCCATCTCCATTGTCTTACTCTCTTTTGCCTTCATTTCATGTTCAAGCAGAATCATCTCTGATTCTAGCTTATACATCTTTTTGTTTACCGTCTCTATGCATATCTCTTTATCTTCCTTTTCCATCGTCAGAGCCTCGATCTCTCCCTTAAGCCTCTCCTCCTCTTCTGTTTTCTCATTACTCACACGTCTTATCTCGTCTTCGAGAAAACGGACTTGTGCTTCCAGCTCGTTAAACTGCTCATCCCTTTGTGTTTTTTCCTCCAAGAGGGTTGTTATCTCTGCTTTGAACTGTGCCTTCTCAGGGAATATCTTCTCCTCTGCGTCGGAGAGAGCAGTCTTGAGATCCCTGATCTCATGATCTCTACCTGCTAAGCTATGTTTCAGCATCGAGACTCTGTCATGCAGCTTCACAACTTCTCTTCTATCAGCACTAGACTTGCTTTTCCATGCAGCAATTTCTTTCTGAGCAGATTCAAGCATGTTCTGGATGCTCTTGAGCTTTAAGTCATCAGACTTTGCTTTCTCAACTTCTCTTCTCATGATGCCGTTGTCTCTCTCCGCTTCCCGGAGCCTCAGGTTTGCAATTCTCAGCTCTTCAGACAATGTCTCAACGTCCATCTCTTGAGTGGAATCTGCTCCTTCACTAACTTGCTCGTCGTCATCCAACACAGATGGCAAGTATCTAGCGAGCTGATTCTTCAACATGAAGATTTGGTCTTCGGAGTTGAGTATCCTCTCGTTAGCTTCCCTCAGTTCTTGCTCACAAGCAGCGAGTTTCGTTGGATAATCAATAAACTTAGGCTCAATCTTCACCAAGCCATCAGTGTTTCCTTCAAGCTGCATCCTGAGTCTCTCCTTGGCGTCACGGAGCTCAATCTCAAGATCAGCTACCCTCTTGGTCATTGACTGAAAATCATTGCCAACATTCACGTAAACAGGGTGGCTACTCACAGAAGAAGCGTCATCCCATTCCTGTTCAGAGTCGGTAACAGAAGCACAATCCTCTACATCATTGGGAGTATTCATTCCTCCATTATTGCCAAGGAAGTAGTCAAAACCAGGAGCTCGACGTGAAGGAGGACGGCCGAACTTGTTGTTGTTAAGGTCAGTACTAGTGAGGTCAGAGGAGGAGAGTTCATCGTAACGTTCAGCTAGAGAACGGTACATACGGTGAAACTCATCGACAAGGCTGATGAGCTCAGGTCTCTTCTGATAATACATCTCTGCCTTCTTGGAAAGCGAGTCTGCATCTTCTTCTATCAGTTTCACCATCTTTTTCACGCTCTTGTCCATATCTGATCACCACCATACACACATAAATAACATTTCTATCATTTTACAAGAAACAAATTTGGCATACTTATATTTTCATCTATGAAAATGATCAGCCACCCATTTAAACTAGACCAAAATTTAATTAAATGAGATGTTTCTCTACAGTCTGACCGTGTCTGATCTATATGGGTGATAATAACTATTTTCTTTCGCTAATGAGTCCGCCGTGATGAGCATATGATATATAACAGGGCAAGGATACCAATGAGATGGAATGACTACTCACCATCGAGATTATGCTCGAGCCACCTGTTGCTTTTGATACTCTTCTTGGAACGAAACTGAAAAATCCAAGAATCAAGAATGAGAATCTCTTGGTTGATCATTAATGGTATGCAAAAAAGGTTATTTTGGATGTTACCAGTTCATAATCCATGGCTGAAAAAATTGATGGACACTAAGCAAAGCTGGAAACACACAAGAGACAGTCATGAGACACAAATAATACAGATACACGTATACAAAGAAAAGAACAAAAAGAGAACCTGACACTAAGAAGAAGATGCAAAGGCTTACAGAGGGAGATGATGCAATGTAAGGAGCTTTTTAAAGTCAAAAGAATGTATAACACTTACAAAGATATTGCGGACAGGTCTTAACTAGTAACGTGGCCAAGTGATCTCTTTGTAACTTTTATGTATTAAGTAAATGTAATTTGGGACTTGATACACATTGTTTCATGAGGTAATAGAAGAGGAGGTTTACTTATAGGCCTCTCTCTCCCCCCACTAATCCAACCGACTATTCATTAAAGTAATAATGATCATCCAAGACTATTTCCTCACGTTTTAGTTACACTTTTTATTGTGTTGCTATTCACGCATACTTGAAGGTGGATCATCCATCACCCAGTCAAAATATCAATTTATGCAGACCTTGAATACTTTAAAATGCAATTTTTGTCATTTTTTAGTCTTAACATCACGTCTTTTTTTTTTCTTTTAATGTAATTAAATGGGAAGACCTTTTCAGGGTTTACGGGAGTAATCGCGTTATCTGTGTGTCTTATTTCAAAAGGCCAACTCAAACTTTGTTTTGTGGCGCTCCACTTTCTTAGCTTTTCATTGCACTTCAGATTAAAGAGTCCGGATTAAATGCATTAAAGATTACGTATTATTTTTTCTAAACTATATATTTTCAACTGCTGACATGCACAACTCATTACCCTATATAATTTTTCGACAATGCTTTTTATGTTTTCTTTTAGATAAATGTATTTTTTGTGATAACTTGTAGATTTAAGATAGTCTTTTTGATTAGTCAATGCAATTAGAAAATAGGGGAAATATTATCTGGCAAATTTTTTTAAAACTCAAATCTTGTTGTAGTAATTATAGGAAGAATTATATAATAAAAGTCTTATAACAAAGAACGATATATATATATATATATATATATATATATATATATATATAATAGATTTATGACTATTTTGTTTAATATTATATATAAAATGTTATTGTTTAATATATATCACTTTGGTATCAACCAGTAAAAGTGTTTTAAATTTATATTAAAAAAATCCTTGTTCGAGAATATTCTTGGATAAATATAAATTATACGTACTTTATTTCACCAAACTTCTATGATATGTATGAAGCATGCAAAACCCTTTAGTAATTTTAGTTTAGTTTATTTATTTCATTTTAAATATCTATTATATCTAGTTTTGAAAACTATCTCTAAGTTAAAAACTTATATAGTTGACAAAAAAAAACAAAACTTATAGCGTAAAAAAAATAGAAGAAGAGAGAAGTCAATAGTGACGTGGAGATTAAGGATAATACCCATATTCAAACAGAAAGCATATAATAGATATTTTCAACAAAAAAAAAAGGTTCTAAGATGAAAAAAATCGAAAATAAGAACAAAAGAAAACTAAAACTGTAACTGTTGCATGTCTTGTTTTGGTCCACTTGTGCTTTGGTTTCGAATGTCTGTATATGGATGGACCTCCAAAGTTGCTCCACTACACAACAAGAGTTCAAGATGAGACTGTTAAAGATAATGACGAACGTGGTAAACGTTGTGAGTTTGGACAAAACACATCACAGCCATATAATTATAAACAGATATTATTACCCAGCTACAAAAGATACTTGTAGGAAGATATACTAGTTGTATGATAAGAAGATGAGTGAGCATCATTTTGTGTTTGTGCACGGTGCAGGACATGGAGGATGGTGCTGGTACAAGCTCGCCAATTCACTGAGACTTAATGGACACAAGGCCACTTGCATCGACCTCAAGGGCGCTGGGATCAACCAAACTGATCCAAACACTGTCTCCTCTCTTGATGACTACAACCAGCCTCTCAATGACTTCCTCTCGAAACTTCCACTCGACCAAAAGGTCATTCTGGTGAGCCACAGCGTTGGAGGAGGGAGCATGACAGCTGCCATGTGCCAATATCCTTCCAAAGTCTCCATGGCTGTTTATGTCGCAGCAGCCATGGTCAAACCTGGTACCATGATTCCACCAGTTCTCAAAGAAGTACTAAAGATATGTTCAGGGATGATAGAAACTGAAGCTGAGAAGATTTGGGACTTCACTTATGGAAACGGACCTGAGAATCTCCCAACAAGCATGACGATGAAACCTGAGTTTATCCAGGACAAGTATTACAACGAGAGCCCCACGGAGGTTATCTTTCATCACCAAACTCTTTATTATGATCTTGCCGCAATTACTTTATTCATTCATGTATAATCAGGATTACACACTGGCCACTACACTTTTGCGTCCAGCCCCTGTCATGGCATTTGCAGGCATAGTGGATATCCCGGAAGCACCAGAGACTGACAAAATCCCAAGGGTCTACATTAAGACAGGCAAGGACAATATGTTCCAATCAAATCGTCAAGACTTAATGGTATCCCTGTGGCCTCCTGCTCAATACTTCCTTCTTGAAGAGAGTGACCACTCTGCATTTTTCTCCCAACCTGAAGCTCTTTATAAAATCCTCCTTCAAGCAGCCTCCTCTATCTCTCCCTGAACTCTCTTTACACATCTATTATCTATCTTTTTAATAGTTACTTGAAATAAAATTGGATCATATTTATATATCAAAGGATCCTACAATAATGGCTATGTAAATTTCTGTCACACCTCCAAACAATGAAAAAAAAAACTTAAAAAGACTTAAAAGCATATAAGAAAAATGGGAAGAGACCATCATGGGGTGGTTTGAACAATAGAGTCCTTGGGTTTGCTATTGTCATCTGAAGATGGTCTTGTCTCAGAAGAGTCTGAAACTCGTATCTCTTCAATCATCCTAACCACATCATCCATACTTGGTCTCACGTCAGGCGTTTGAACCACACAAGCCATAGCAATCTGCAGCATCTGCACCATTTCTTCTTCAAAGTTCTGAAACCTCATTAGGTCAACATCAAACACCTCACTTGTCCATTCCTCCCTCACCACTGACTGCACCCACCTCGGAAGATCAACCATCTCCTCCCTACTTGGGGACTGCACTGGAGACTTACCAGTCAACATCTCTAGTATCAGTACTCCGAAACTGTAAACATCTGATTTGTGAGTGTGTTTCCTTGTTTCTATTACTTCCGGTGCACGGTATCCTACACCAGCTCTCATTGGGGCTACTGGCACAGTCATTAGAGGGGTCAGTCCATAATCAGAAACGCACACGTCACTCTCCTGCTTCATAATTATGTTTGAGGACTTTATGTTTCCATGACAGAACTTTGAACCTCCAGCTTCATGGAGGTGAGCTATACCTTTCGCTGCAGCGAGTATGATTTTCACTCTGGAGTCCCAGCCAAGAGAGATTCTCTCACCTTCACGGTTACCTGTAGCCAGTGAGCTATTCATAAGTAAGCAAAATATAAACCATTAAACGAAGATAGGGGAAAAAGAAGACTAACCGTGAAGGAGTGATGATAGGTTACCAGCAGGGTAATAGTCAAAAACCATGAGCTTCTCATCCTTATTGTAATAATAAGCACGAAGGGGAACAACGTTAGGGTGTTGTCTCCCAATCTCACTGATAATCTCCATCTGCTGTTCAAACTCTTTTTTTCCAACTGCCACTTCCTTCAACCTTTTCACCACAACAGTAGTTGATTCCTCTAAGACAGCCTTGTAAGCTGTCCCATAACTACCTTTACCTAGTACTTCCGCTGATGCCCTTAACAAATCCTCAAGATCAAAGTTATATGAGCATCCTTCAAAGAACACCAGCTTGTTCTTCTCATGTTCTTGTACCCCACTACCAAACTCTTGCTTTGCTTTCTCAGTTAACGTCTTTGTGTTTGCTATGCTGTCTTCCCTCTTGTCCTTTTTCTTGAAACAGCAACATAAGATAACTGCGGTGACTAGTAGAAGCAGGGCAGCCCCTCCAGCTGTAATGAGAATGAAATTGCTTACATGTAACTTCCTTTTTGGACCTTCTTTGTGAGGCAATGGAGGTGAGGAGATGGGTGGGGGAAGAGGAGAGGGAGAGGCACATGGTTGCAGAGGAAGTCCACATAACATTGTGTTTCCAGAAAAAGATGAATTTGGAAACTTACCAAATGCAGAGGGTATTGAGCCATTAAGATGATTGTTGCTCAAGTTTAAAAGCTTCAGGCTTCTTGTATCAAGATTAGGTATAGGTCCAGAGAGTTTGTTGTTCTGGAGACTCAACATAGTCAGTTTTTGTAACGTTGCTGGTATCTTCCCAGTGAAAGAGTTGAAAGAGAGATCCAAGATATCGAGGTGTTGGGACAAAAAGGAAGGTACCTCACCGGAGAAGTTGTTGTGTTGGAGATAGAGGTAACGTAGTGAAGGGAGAGATGTAATATCAGGAGGAATGTTACCACCAATGAGGTTTGATCTCAAACTGAGAGTCTCGAGTGATTCTAGTTTACCAAGTGTGTTTGGAGGGATGGTTCCCACAAGTCCTATTCCAGGAAGGCGGAGAGTAAGAACAGCAGTACCATCAGAAGTGCAGGTGACACCAACCCATGATTTGCAGATATGGTTAGTGGAGTTCCAGTTGAGCTTTCTAAGATGAGGAACAGAAGCAGCAAAGGACAAAAGAGCTTGCCTATCCGAGTTCAAATCCGCAATAGCAGTTGTGACAAACAAGAAAGAGACAAGACAAGTAGACAAGACTTGACCAACATCAAACTTGGAATGGAGCTGCTTCATCAGTAACATGACTTCCTGGTTTAAAAGAATATGAGAAGATCTTCAAAAACAAAACTTACATACTCGAAGAAAAAACAAATAAAGATGCTAAATTAAATCTTCAAGAAAAAAGTCTGTCTATATCTTTATCTTTTATCATTGGGAGATTAAACAATGCAAGAGGCTAAGATAAGAGACTGAAGCATCCAACTAAATAAAAGCAAAAGGAATAAAGCTAAAGAACCACCAAACTTTAACACAATAACTTTGAAGTGCATTTAAAAAAAAAAAGCAAATCCTTTTTGTCAAAGATATATTGAAAGAAGCAAAGGTATGTCCATCATGTGGACAACGTCGCTAAGTAAATAAAGATGAGTTTTGAGTGTTTAGTTTTACCAGAGTTGTTGAACAAAACAACCTGTATCCAACAAACTGTAAGAGCAAAAACAGGGGAACTAAAACAAAAACCACGTTACTAAAGACTGTAAAGTCTTGAAACTTTCCTACCCACCTATCCGGAGAACATGGAAATTTAAAGTATAATTCCACAGCTAAACAATTACAGAAACTTACAAAAAGGCAAAAGAAGAGAGAGAGAAAGATGAACCTGAGAGTACAGTGGGCAATGAGGAACTCAAGAGACCAGAAGAGGAGGCAATGGTGAAATCTTGTGGATACTATAGCAGAAAAGGCAATGCGTGTAGGGACTAGTGGGAGAGACGGAGAGGAGAAGAAGAAGAAGCAGAAAAGGAGAGATGGAAGAAAAGTATAGTGAAGCTAAAAAAAACAATAAGAGACGTATTTATGAAGGATAAGACATGAAGTCGTTAGATTAAATCATGTTAATGTGTTAAGACCGCAACAAACGCTATAGAGTAGAGAGAGTGACCCCAGAGACTGACCAAGTCTAAGATTCTCAAGAGATAACAAAGTGACAAATACACTCCGCCAAATGCAAAATCTTGTTACCACCTAGATTTTTATATTTGTAAAGTAATCATATTTGGTAATTGATAATAATAGTCCTGACCTGTCCAACTACTCTTGTTACTATTTTCTCTCCATCTTGCATCATTCTTGATTTCTGAATACCATGTCAAAGTGAAACTAGTCATGTCATCATCATCATCTACCAAATCCCAACACAAGATAAACCCATCTCGCTCTTCTTGAGCCAACCACTTCTTGAGTCACAAGATTGATATCAGAGACTTCAGTTCAACTATTAATCTCTTTCTCATGTCACTAAACCTGGGAATTAACTTGAACGTATTAGTTTGGTTGCAATTTTTTATTGATACAACTAGAATCAACAACACTTGTGTACTTTCAAGAAACCAACATGCGACAACGAATCAACTCATATCTCATGTCTAGTTATACATAACTTACACTAAATACGGGAGCAGATCAAAAAGAAGAAATGTGGTATCATACAACATAGGAACATAGCAGATCAAAAGAAGAGATGTAGTATCACACGAAGATAGGAACCTAACAATAAGCTAGGAACCTTTTAATGGCCTTCTTCCCCTGGAGCATCATCCTCATCATGATATATGTTCTCAGCCATTTCCCATATTTGGAGTATGTTGTCCTCAGCTACACTTGAAATAACCCAATCTTCACATGGGTTCCATGAGAAATCTGAAATTTTGCTGGTGTGACCACCATGGATGAAAAGCAGCTCTGGTGGACCGTCCTCAGCATCCTCCACTGTCTGTTCCTCGTCGATCCTGTCATAAAAGACACCCTCACACATATCAAACATTGTTCCTTCCTCCATGGGTTAACAAGAACATAACCAAGTAAAGAAGTCAAACCTGCTAAGGTCCCAAACCATAAGCCTTCTTCCGAGGCAACATGAGGCTAATATAGTCTCGTTCTTCGGGCTCCAACCAACTTGGAAAACCTCCTCTCTGGTGATCAAAGCAAATAATATCAGTTAGCAATGCTGCGGTAAATACTTCTTACGTTTTAGTAACAGATAATATGTCACAAAAGTAAAATATTCTCACTTATGGCTGTCAAATGTGTGAAGAGCATTGCTTAGCTTCCGTAGATCGAATAGCTTAACAGTCTTATCAGTTGACCCTGTTGCCACAACCCATTCATTAAGTGGATTGAAGGCTAAGCAGTTAACCTGAGGCATTTCAAACACAGCCCATCCATTAGCAAACACAAACACAAACAGTGGTTCTTTTGTGTTTAGGTAAAAAGTGATCACTAAGATGGTCCAAGCAGACTAATTTTAGGCTCTTAAAAGTCAGTTTATTGCAAACAAACACACCTCCATGGAGTGAGCAACCACAGACTGTACTGGTTTACTGGCAGATGGAGAACGCAGATCCCATATAAGAAGATACTGATCATCTCCAACGGATCCAAACAGGTATTCATGTCTCAGATGCCATGCAACATCTTCCACCACGCCTTCATGAGCCTATATATTAAACAAATAATCAACAATGAAACATATCAATTACATTTAATATCTTTCTAAATAATAGACAAGAGGGAGACATGAATCAAAGCATTACCTTAAAGATCTGCTGAGCGTCAAGAGTCTTGTTTTTAGGAGTGGCGTTAATATCCCACAAGCAGATCTGAGCGTCATCAGAGCCGCTGAGCAAATGACCCTGCCTGAACTTACTCCAGGAGAGACCATACCCTTCAGAGCTGTGACCCCTAAGCCTCAAATCAGGGTTGCAAGCTCCATCAAGTGGCGGCTTAGACGGGTGCTTGCTGTAATCAAATACATACACCTCCGCATTAACTGTCTTGGTTGCAATCATGAAAGGGTTTTGAGGCATGTAGCGAGCTCGGTTCACCTCCCCTTCATGATTTATCTGCTGGATAATTTGCACCTGCGCAACGTAGCCAACTTATTGATCATTCAATTCCCTCAAAACCCTAAATTCAAATCTTTTGTTCATTCAACTAATTGAAACCATAAATTCACACATTTATGTTCATTCAATTAACTCAAGCCATAAATTCAACTCACTGAAACCCCAAATTAAAATTAAATTAAAATTTATTGTTCATTCAATTAACTGAAACCACAAATTAAAACTCTTTGTTCATTCAATTAACTAAAGCCATAAATTAAAACTTTTTGGTCATTCACCGGAACCCTAAATTCAAACCTTTTGTTCATTCAACTAATTACAACCCTAAATTCAAACTTTTTATTCATTTAAACACACTGAAACCTTAAATCCAAACCTTTTGTAGTTTGTTCATTCAATTCACTGAAACAATAAAATCAAGCTTTTTGTTCATTTCAATTCACTGAAATCCTTAAATTCAAACCTTTTGTTCATTCAACTTCATGAAACAATAAATTCAAACTCTTTGCTCATTCAATTAACAAAAACCCTAAATTAAAACATTTCAATCATTCAACTAACAAAAAACCTAAATTCAAAATTAAACATGAAAGAACAAAGATTTCACCTTTCCAGTGGCGCACCCAAACCCACCAACCTCTGACCTCTCATCATCGTACTGACGAGCTTCGCCTTCGGTATCATCCAGAGGAAGCTGAACCTGAGCCAACATCAGGTAATTGGGCTCGTTCTCGGAGGTGTGGGTGCCAAGAATCATCTTCTGGACGGAGTAGTCTTTCCCTGAGGGCTCCTCGCGATCAGGGAGCCACTCAACAGTAAGTGAAGGCCACTCGAGAGCGTGGGTGATGACGAGATCGTAGAGGAAAGGAGTGTTCTTCTTCCAGATCTTGTACTCTTCGTTGATTAGTCTCTCCTCGATCTCTCCTCTCATCTCCTCGTCGTCTTTACCCATTTCCGCCGATGTTTTTTTTGTTTGTTCCCGCCACTAAGGAGAAGACAAAAAAACCCTAAATGAGATTATGAGAGATCTCTCACTCTCTACTCTGTATAAATAGTAAATTGACAGCAGGAAGAAGATGATGTAATAGGAAAAGAAAAGAGGGGTATAATGGGCCTATTTTATAAAAGGCTATTGTGAAAAGGCCCATTTAAGATAATTGTGTATTTAGAATATTTATTTGAGAATTCGGCCAAAAAAGCACCAACTTTTGTTGACTTTATTAGTTTATTAAGAAACTTACGATTGACTCGCCATTTTAACACACCGTTAACGAACCGTTAAGACGGTGTTAACTCGGACGTTAATTGTTGCTGTTAGGATGAAACGACGTCGTTTTAAGCTATTTGAAAATAAAAAGACGTAGACCCCTGGGTTCGAACCCGGGTTGATTGGATCAAGTGGCACAGAAGTTTACCACTAGGCTAGTGGCACATTCAATGTATCTACTAACACATTTACTTATATTTGGTTCTGATTGAATATTAAAAAAATTCTATAAAAACTTTAAAAATCTTTAAAATTTCAAAACAAATGAAAAAGAAATAATTTTTTTATAAAATTAATTTTGATATTAAAATTAAAATAAAATTTTATTTTTCTTTAAAAAATCAGACGGGAACTTATAAAAATTTATTTTTCTTTTAATGTATCTATTAACACCTTTACTTATATTTGGTACTGATTGAATGTAAAAAAAATCTATAAAAACTTTAAAAAGTCTTTAAAATTTCAAAAAAATGAAAAAATAAAGATTTTTTTTATAAAATGAATTTTAAAATTTAAATAAAATTTATTTTTTCTTTAAACTAAAATTTTGGAAGATTTTTGATTTTTTAAAGAAAATAAAAATTTATTTTAATTTTAGTTTCAAAATTAGTTTTATAAAAAAACTCTTTATTTTTCATTTTTTTGAAATTTTAAAGTTTTTATAGAATTTTTTTATATTTAATCAGTACCAAATATAAGTAAATGTGTTAGTAGATACATTGAATGTGCCACTAGCCTAGTGGTAAACTTCCTTGCCACTTGATCCAATCAACCCGGGTTCGAATCCAGCGGTCTACGGCTTTTTATTTTCAAATCGCTTAAAACGACGTCGTCTCATCCTAACGGCAACAATTAACAACGTTAATTTTTTCTGTTAAATTTGCTGACGGCGTGCCAAATTGGCAAGTCAACGAAAACATTGTTAATTAATTCGAAAGTCAATGAAAAGTTTATGTTTTTTTTGGCCAGACCAAAAGTTCAGGTTTCTTTTGGCAATTCGTGCAAAGTTCGTGTTTTTTTTGGCCGAATTCTCATATTTATTTTGACTTTGACTATCTATTTCAAATACAAACATGAATCTTTAGGTTCGGTCTTTAAAAGTTTTTTTTTTAATTATTCGATTAACATTTCTGATTTACATATATTTTATACCATTTTTAAAGATCCACTCCATTTATAAAGATTTTACTGATTGGATCAGATATGGGGATTGATTTTTTACTTTAAAAATCCAGATTTATAAGTTTTAATTATTATTTTAACTTTTTGACAAAAAAACTAATTATTTTTAATTTTTACGTAGAGTTTTTTAGAAACAACTGAAAGCACTGTTAAATAAGTAAAAATTAATTTCAGAAATAATTTATTACTTTTATTAATTTTTTAGATATTGATTCAACTTTTAAATAAAAAATGTGATGCTTTACAAAAGTGGCTTCAGAAATAAAAATGAATTTATATGGTATTTAACACTTCTCCTAATTAAATCCACGGATCGTTTGTTTCAGTTTGGATCCGAAATTTCTTATCATATCTACTAGCCATAGGCCTAAGCGTTTGAATTTTCGAATTAGTTTTGGACCGGTTATTTTCAAATCTGGAACGTTTGAGCCCTAAACATTTAAACACAATAGGTATGTGAGAATTTTTAGTTCGTATAGGCTCGGTACCCTCTCTAATCTTAGCCGGTTTTGATCTATGATTAAATATTTATAAAATACATGTGCTTTTCGGATAATTGAATTTGGATATTTATGATATGAAAAAATCTAAAGTATCCAAAATCGATCAATATTTAACTAAACTCTATCGTATTTGTCTAAAATAATCAATATTAAATTATTAATCATTGAAATTAGCATTTTTAGGCCAACTTTAAAGTTTCATATTATTTGAAAATATTATAAAAATGATACTAATGAAGATTGCTAATAAAAAGACATTTCAAGTAAATCATAAATTAAAATATGCAACCTTATAACCCAAACCCTATAAACTAAATTTAACATATTTGAATTTTACTTCCGTTAATCTGAAGCTAATATATAATAACCTGAACCCAAATGATATATGGTAACTTCAGTATAATTTGAATCCAAACTGAAACTGATGTATTATATTCGATCCCAATCCAAATTTAAAAATTTCTTAAAAATGAAAACTATGAGGTGTTACAACAAAAACCGATATCCGATATACTCAATCCCGATCCCACCCATGCCTACTTTCATCTTTCAGTAATCGACAAAACCAGGCCCATTTAATAGAGTTTCATCTTACAACAACCCATAAAACTAGGCCCATTCAACAGACATACAAGCCTACAGAACTAGGCCAGTTAACAGTCTTTCTTCTTACAGTAACCAACAATAGAACTAAGATCAGTGAAAGTAAAAATGGCGATGGCGATGGAGATCAGGGAAGAGGACTGGATGGTTTGCTGCGGAAGCTCTGATTTCGCCAAGCTAATGGTGAAAGCTTCCCCCTTTAACTCATTAGAGTCATCAATCGAATCCGCAAGAGACATATGGTTCAACCAAGTGAACATCGCAGCTTGGCTTGAAGCCTTCGCTGCTCATCCTCAGATTGGCAAGTCTCCTTCTCCTTCTAGCAACTCCGATTTCGCTAGCAGGAGCGTGACAGAGCAGTCCACAGCCTTTGCCTCAACTTCTGCATCTGCCTTAGAGGTGATGATCTGATCGGGTCGGATTGGATTGGATTATTTTCTTGTTCTCTTTAAAGTTTACTTTTTTAATGATTTTTTTCTTCGATTTCTTAGGAGCTTGCAGAATGGAATGCACTTTACAGAGAAAAGTTTGGGTTTATATTCATTATTTGCGCTTCCGGCAGGACTCACGCTGAGATGCTCGCCGAGTTAAAGGTCAACTCCAGCTTTTTTTAAGTGAATATACACACTGAAGACTTGGTCTAAGAGAAAACTTTATTAGTTTAGAAAAGATCTATTGACCATGTACCTTCACTTATATTGCAAGTTTTGTATCTTTTGGTCTCTTGTGTGTTTATCTTCTTCTTTTAATTAAGGAATGCACTCTACATAGTTAACATGTTTTTCGAACTGCTTTTTTTTTACAGGGAAGGTATGCAAATAGACCGATAGTGGAGCTTGAGATTGCTGCTAAAGAGCAAATGAAAATAACTGAGCTCCGGATGGCAAAGCTCTTCTCCGAGAAGGCGAAAGTTGTTTCACAAACTGAGTCCACAAAACCTCAAGGTATTTGCTTGTGTAGGGTTTGAATCTCCTTTGGAGTACTCGTGTTATCTGTGATATTTGTCTATTTTCTTGGTTGGTGTAGAAGATCGTCTGAGAATCATAGGAGGGCATTTGAATGTTGCAGAAGCTGCTCCCAAGAGAAGTAGGCCACCGATAACCACTCATGTCTTAGACGTCTCACGAGGTGCTCCAGCTGCAGGTGTTGAAGTCCACTTGGAGGTGTGGAATGGTACTACTAGTCCTTCCTTTGCCCATGGAGCTCGTGGGGACTGGTCCATGGTGGGTACTTCAGCTACTGATAAAGATGGGCGTAGCGGGCAACTGATGGATTTGGTTGAGGCGTTGAAGCCAGGGACGTATAGAATAAGCTTCAACACTGGAAAGTATTGCCCAGGAGGCTTCTTCCCCTATGTTTCCATTGCATTTGAGGTCACAGAATCTCAGAAATGGGAGCATTTCCACGTCCCACTGTTACTTTCACCATTTTCTTTCACCACATACCGTGGGAGCTAGTGCTGCTGCTGCACAGTCTTCAATACATTTGGTGGTTTACTGTTATGTATCAAAATTGCTATGAAAATAAAAATCTGTATTTGTGTATTTATTTGGGGTTTGTGAAACTAGTAGAACCATATGCAGCGTTTGCACCTCTAAAGACTTGCATTCGACCTCAATTTTTCCTCTTATCCAGTTTCTGAGTTTCTTAAATATTCCTCTGCTATTTTTATCGATTACTTGAATGTAAGAAAACATCTTGTAGAACCGATTAAATATTAAACTGATAGTTAATGAATTTAAGGACGCATAATTGTTGAGCAAACAACACAAGTGAAGTGCCCAAATAAGTTCAAGTTACATCCTCGAACAATGTTTCTTCCTCCACAATCTTTGCCATACTTCCGACTACTTGTACCCAACTCTCTACTACTTTCTTGATCTTTCCATCTAAAATCTCCACCAACGTAAAAGCTCTTAACGTGCCACCACTCTCGGACTCCTCCTCCGCTCCTCCAACCGGCGTCTCTTTAACCCTCGGGACTATTGCACCGTTCACATAAACAATCTTGTTGTCACTATCTTGCACAACCATTTTACGGTTTCCTTTCCCACCATCAAGCTCCTTGTGCATGTGTCCAAACACAACTAAAGGAACAGACAGTTCCGTCGTCTCTTTCAGCTGGCGTAATGCCTGCTCTAGATCTGTCTCACCAAACCAAAAAACAATCAGATCACTCTAGGGTAGTGAGTCTGAAGAATTAAAAAGATGGAAGCAACATTTACCTGGATCACCCTGGTCACCACCTTGGTCAGACCAGTCTCTTCCACATATATCCTCAGCCTGAGAACCAAGACCTGCAAGACAGGAAAAACCACTAGTTAAATCCTTATATGTTATACCGAAGACAATAGACCATTTAGAACGCTTCATAGGTTGATGATGCACCTGTTGGACCGTTATGCGCAAGGATTATAACGAAATGATCTTCCGGTGTTCCAAGTGCAGCTCGACAGATTGCCCCAGCACTTTCATCCATTTTACGAACTCCATATCTAGAAAAAAGAGATTAAAAGTGTGTCAAAAGAGATGAAGACTTGTACCTTCACAGCTATCACCAACCACAAACAAACACAAAGATGAGGAAGTTAAATGGTAACCTCTTAAGCAGCTTGTCACGATGAAATTTATCTCCGCCATGTGAAAACGGGCGACCACCAACAACACTGAGCTTAAACGAGGGAAAGTCCTTGCGTTGATATCCTACGTGCTCATCACCAAGTCTGTTGTTTGGTTGGTTGCAGCAGGGAAACAAAAAGAAAAAAACACATGAAATTGGTGATAGGTCTCACAACTAGTACTCTCTCATCCATCCATATCCATATATATATTAAACCAATGAATTAAACATATTCGAACTATGTAACGAGGAAGCCTAACATTAACTTTGGGGTTCGGACAGGATGCTCATTATTTAAATACCAGACTTGTTGAACAATTAACAAACTAAAAGAGAACAACATTATATGTAACAGTGGTAAAAAAAAAAGAACTCACATATCAAGTTGCCTTTGAACACCGTTTGGTCTGTCTCCTGTCCTGAAAATAGAAAAACCCTATGATTAATAATCAAAGCACGCCAAGAAGAAGGTAAAAGCTAGAGAGAAGAGTTAAAAGTTAAGTGGCAAGCAAGAAAGACACACACGTTGACCAACTCCGAGTGTTCCAAGCATCATGGTTACCCAATATAACTGCTTTAGGGAAAGGAATATCAGCAACGCTCTGCACTATTGCTATATTCTCCTCACCAAAATCACCTGACAAAAAAGTTTTGAGTTTGGATTGAATTTTTTTCTGAACTAATTTTTTTTTTTTTTTTTTAAAACAGTAAAGGTAGTAATGAAGAGAAAGTAGACAACTTTTTGCAAAAGAAATCAATTTTGCTTGTACCTGTGAAGAGCACCAAATCCGGGTTTAGTAGCCGAAGAGCCTTTCGATCTTCATCTAGATTCCAGAAGCCATGCTGAAGATAAAAAATAAAATTAATCATTCAACAAACAAAAAGAAGTTGTGTGTGAGAGAGATATGTAATGACAGTACGATGTCTCCGACAACGGCGATTCGGACAAGAGAAGAGGATGCCATTGGAGATGAAGAACAAAACCCACCAGAATCACAGCTTGTTCGGCTCAATTTAATGACACTTTGTTAGTATTGATTTAGGGTTAAATCTCTTATACATTCTCTTGGGTAAATAAGCCTAAGAATGGATATATCCTAAAAGAATAATGGAAAATAGTATATTCATCATTGACTCCTAATAAAAAAAGGAATATTTTTTCTTTCGTGATAGCATCTAATCTAACGTCGTCGTTTGAATCGCTTTGTTACCTGTCTCGAATGTGTATCATGATTACAAAAGTCACATAACCTGTTCACTGAATGAAAAAAAAAAAAACTGCATAATGCTACAAAAGTTACAAGCAATTTGGATTTTGTAATCTTTTAGACACTTCGGTATACATCAGCCCCCCACCCAAAAAGAAAAGAAACAAAGGTTCCACTCTGTTTACCCCAAAAAGAATGCTTCTCTACTTACTATTACTCTGCATCAATCAAGTTATCTATCAACTCTTCTCTTCTTTTTCCCCTTCCTTTCCAACTTCTACTGTGACAGCTTGAAGACGCTCTGATAACTGTTCCACAGAAGATGAAGATGTCTCTTCTTTCCTCCCACCTCCATCATCTCCTCCCACCTTTTCCCTCTCTCTCTCATCATAGTAGCTGAAATCATCCAGGATGGAGGTGTGTGCCTCGTACTCCTTGAATATTCTCAGCATCTCAACCCCCTGCCGCAGCTTCACCTGTTAATTAAAGTTCATCATCAATCATTTAGTTCGCTTCACCGCAAACATCAAGTTTCTGTTAAGTACAAATGCAATGCCAAGTTCATGTGTCCCTACCACTATAACCCTACTCTTCTATTTTTCATGTGTTGCTAAAATGAAACCTAAAATGCTAATCAGTCTAGTTACCAAGAGAGTAGTGAAACAAGTACCACACGACTTTTCACACAAAATTTTGCAATTGCAAACAGAAGCAGATCACAAAATGGCACTGATATCTTAGACAGCAGCTGGTGAACACATACAAAGGTTACGAAATAAATAAATACCCACCTCCTGAGAGTCTCGGCTGTGCGTTACAGGCTTGTTGTCATTGTTTTGTAAAAGAATATGAGAAAACCGGTTGTTCGGTACATCTTTCAAAATATGCCATTTCACTGGGAACTGCCCACTCCACCTGTCTTGCTGCCAGTAACCAGCATCCTTTTCAAAATCTACAGGTCCCACCATCTCGGCCACCCCACAGAATTGTCCACTCGCATTTACCTGTGTAACATTCAAACACTCTGGTTAACATCTTTCTTTCTTTCCTTGAAGCAACAAAGAATTATTGTCTTTTCATTGCTCTAAAAAGAAACTTATCATATACCGAAAAGAAGAGAAAGATTGGACATTTTCCACCCATTTTCTCAGCATCTCGATAAGCAGTATCTAGTTTTCTGTTGCCATGCGGGGTGCTGGCCCAGACATTATACTTGATGCTTCTGTGAACATTGTCTTCACTAAAAGACTTGACAATAAAGAACTTGGCATTCTTGTAATCCGTCGCAAATTCTGGATTGTTGTACAAACTGGGATTCGGACCAGCTGTACTCGAATCATGTCTGGAGCTGTTCTTGCTCTCTACCCTGCTGGATGCTCTTGGTCCTCGATTACCATACAGATCATTTGTGGTAGGTACAGTGCTGTACTCTCTCCTTTTACCTATGTCAGGGGCTGATGATCTGACTGAATTATCAGCTCCATAATATGAGGTTGGACTCTGGTAAGATCCTACATGATAATATCCTCCCAAAGAAGAACTCGAAGCAACCCCACTCCCATGCAACGGTAACTGATACAAGGTGACAAAAAGAAAAGTTAGAAATCCCATAGAACTGTGATCTAATTAAAAATTTTAAGGAGACTTTCGATCTCCGAAACCTGTACATGAAAATAAAGAAACTAAAGATTCAACGCCAAAACAGAATATGACCACTGACTTATATGAAAAATATCACTGGTTGGTTTGTATGTATCACGAATCTTTCGGGAGATGAACTTGTAAAAACGTGCTATTGATACTAATAATCAGTGGCAAACTAACTAACCAACTCAAATAAAGGTTTTGGACATCTCCCTATAAAATTTTAGCATAAACAGCAAAAAAAAGAAAAAGAGTTTAAACCTGTGAAGCATTCTGGTCGTAAGGCCCAAGTATACCCATCGTTTGAGGATATGGTAAAGAGTTGGCCCCTTGATTACCAGATAAATTTCCTCCACCATATCCCGCAAAAGGAATCATATAAGCAGACGCTGGGTCACCACCAATTTCTGGCTGAGTAAAATGCATAGGTGAAGGTGCACCAAACTGTGGGTAATAAGCTCCAGGGGAGATAGGGACTTGACCCTCCATCATCATAGATGGTGGGTAAGGGTTGAAAGTAAAGCCAGGTTGGTACATTATAGAAGAATTGCCATCGTAGACAACCTGAGAAATAACAAAGACAAGAGAAAAAAAAATGTGACAAGAGCAAGCACAAGATAGATAACGTATAATAGGGCTAAATAATCCTAACCTGTGGAACATGCAGGCCTTCAGGGGTAGTAGCATATTGTGGATATACATCCCAACTATTGAAGCCTTGTGGATAACCTAAGAAAACAAATATAATGCAATTGAGCACTCACTTGACCCGAATAATCACGTTTAGTAGTTAGCCCTCTACAAAAACGCATAGCGATTTCTTGAACATTGAATGCAATTGAGTATTACTAGTACACATAAAGAGAGTATTATTTACCAGAATGTGAATTATCCCAACCGTAAGGATGATAGAGATTGGTAGGGTTTTGAAGGACGTTATAGTATGCGTAAGGATCTGAAGAAGAAGACGACGAAACCTGCATTTTGACCTTAAGAAGATGAGATTTGGCTTTACAGAAAATCAAATTAGAAAAGGGAAAGGAAGGAATACATGGTGGTGGTCGACGACATTATCGGGGGCCATGACGGGTCTTTCCCCTGCGAAAAGTCAAACAACATATATCTCTGTTAGCGGTTAGAACAACATTTAGGAGCAATCAACGGCTCTAATAAACACTCTTAGGGTTTGGAATTGGGGATTTTGTTGATTGAGATAGGAATGAGAAATGAAGAGAGAAGAGTGTTACCAGCAGAAGAGACGATTGGGGTGTGCTGAGTTGTGGAAGAAGCGGGATCCATGTGAGGAAGAGAGATCTGATAGAGAGAGAGGGAGCGAGATCGGAAGGTTTCCGAGAATTTTAAAAGACTTTTTTCGCACTGATGTAGGTCCCCCCTGTATTTAATAATACCAATTTTATGGATTCGGTTCAGTTTCTGGTTTTGGTTTGATTGATTCGGTTTTAACTTAACAAGCTGGAGATGGTTTATGTTGAATTTGGATTCGTTTTTAGTTTGATTTATGTGTAATTAAGTGAGAAAATCAATTTGTAAAACATAACAATCAATAAATTGTTTTTCTAATAGGGAAATCTACAGTAAAAACATGGGTTTAGCCTTTAGGTTAAGTTAATGAAATAAACACATTAGTCTATTGGTTCAAGATCATTATCAACCAAATGATTCAGAAAAACAATTTAGTTTGGTTGGAATTGGTTTGTATTGGTTCGATTTGGTTCAGGTTTCTGCTCACATGACATATGTTTCAATGCCCCCCCTCCCCTCCCCTCTCCAAGTAACTGCAATACGAACGAACCACACTTGCGTGGCATCGGCTCTGGTTGCAACTTTGCATCTCAAAACAAACTTATAAGGTGCTGTTCGTTTGCTCACCCAGGTGATCCATCTGGGTGAAGATTCAAATCAATGTTCGTTTTGTACATAAAAATGCTACATCTAGATGGATCACCCAACTGATTTTTTAAAAACTCATCTCAAATTCTCACCCAAATGAGGGTGAGTCTTGATGGTGCATCTGGATGCAGATGCATCTAGTTCAGTCCAAAAT